AGAAAGGACCGCTAAAGATAAAGGGACACCGATGTGGTATTGATCGATGACCCTTTGACGACCTAGTCAATAAAGTTTGTCGAGAGAGAGATCAATGTTGAATAGAAAGTAAGAAAAAATAGTTCAGAGTAGTGTAGATTATGATACCTGAATGTTTGACTTACCATGGAATTTATAGGCATAGGATAATCATCTAAACAAGATTGCTAAGGATTCTCCGTGATTTGTGGTTGGCTATAGCTTAATTTGATCAGATCAATTCTATTAAGATATTCAATCTGTTTATGAATAACTCCTACTAGATTTGGTCAAAATCATAGAATGATTCATCTTGAAGAGTAATTATCGAAGGGTTCGCATTGAACTATGGGCCTCAAACCGTATTTCAGACCGATTGGCATCACGAGTTGAACCAAAGGTCGCACTTTTAAGCAAACCGTTTGTGGGTCTCGTTTCATGACTTGGGCCGCTTGAGCTAGTGGAATAATTTTTACATCATGTACTTCCAAAATGTGATGAACCAAAAAGATGTAAATTATTGGAAAATTTGCGACAAATCTCACAACCTAGGTTGCAAAAAGTTGATACCCAACGCACGTTATTGACAAGTGTAGCTCTCGTCCTACGTTGCTTTGTTTTTCGGGTTACCGTCTTTTCGATGCTTTTAGCTTGCAATTGTTCTTCCCGTCAAATTGCCTGGAGAAAGTAGCATTGAGCTACACAAACAAAGCCAAAATAATTTATTAACAAATAAAAAATCGTTGATACCTCGCAGTACAAAATTCAAATTTATTGCAATAAAAGAATGTTTAACTCACTAAATGCTAAAAGCAATTAAACGTGTACATATTTAATGCTAAATAAAACCATGAACTAACTTGCTACAAAATTGATAGGTCACGGACTATACTTGCCATAGGTTGGGTACCTCCATTGCAGTTTTCCCTAAAATATAAACAGAGATCATAAGCAACCACAGCCTGCAAACCTAATTGTAGAAAAATTGAAATTTGACCATGTTCTCAGATTTTAATGCTCATGAATCGAAGCGGTGTGTTAATAGATGCATGTTCAAAGATGTTGATTATCAATGTTTAAACAGTGACTTCAATGTGAAGCAGACATATATGAAGACGATTGGCAGCACATAATTTAAAGACAGACATGAGTGTTATCCAAAAAACAAGCAGCGTTAATCTCAACATAAATGCGGCAGTTGAATGCCTTTTGAATTGCCTTTACTACTGATTTTATTCTGAATAGAACATTATAATGCAGGAATTCTTGTACATAACAAAAGTAAGTTGAAAACCCAAATAAATACAAAAAGTAGAACAGAAATGTAAATGACAGAGCAGGGAAGCTCTAAGAAAAATCTGCATGATACAAGAAGACAGGCAGCGCTGTCTTTTACCGATGAGATTCTTTTATGAACTGTTGAAGGCTGATATGCTATAATTTCAGGGGTCGAAAGTAAAATCAAGTATTTCCCATGAAAAGTGAATAGATAACACATGCAGCTTCATATAACTCAATTAAAAACATAAACCATAGTCACTGAAGAAGCATGCTGCCCTGCATATGAAAATTTTAAATTAACTGCCGAACAAGCTTCCCCTAGACAATGTGAAGGACAGGGCCAGCCTGATATTTTGGGGGCTTTATGCGAATATCAAATTGAGGCCCTATATTTTGAGTCTCCTTGTATAAAGTTTTAGCCTGTTTGATAGAGATTAAGTCCTTATTTGAATCTCATTTTTCATAGAAATACATTATTCAATAGTGATTTGACACAATTTGAACCACACATTTTTCAATAAAATAATATTACACACAAATTCAAAACTTTTCCTTATTTTTTAACCACATTCTCCATCGTAACACTATTTCAAAATGCATTTTTTGAGAAAAATGGGGCTCAAACAACCCTTAAAATCAAATTTTTAGTAGATTTTGATAAAAGTAGATAAAATGTGGTTTTAAAGTTTTGGAACCCATAAAATATGTGGTTAAAATTAATTGTCAATTTTGACTTAAATTAAAATCTAGATTTTAATTGATGTTGTATGATTATTTTCTCACTATAACTATTTCAAATAAAATTGAATATACATTTGAGTGATTTATGTACAAAACTGGAGAATGTAACTGCAAAAGATAGTGTAACAAAACAATGAAAATGATGATCAAATACAAACGAACTTCTAATTTTATATTAATTTATAAGAAATTAACTTAAAATAAGAAGTATCTGAATGAACAAGAACAAAGAATTATTAAATTCAAAGTACTTTCAGCAAATATTTAAAAATATTATTATCATGAGATTAAAACAAAACAATATAATAACAACATATATATTCTGTAATATATGTTTTGAAGATAAGAGAGAAAGAAAGAAAGAAACATGTAAAGCTGTAACAATGGCAACAAGATCAAACCAAATTGCATTGAATTTTCAAAATTTTAATTCAAAGTGAAATAATTTATATCTTGTTAGGTTGAAAAAATAATGATCGTAATTGTTGTAGATGAAATTTGAAAAGACAAATAGACCTTTTATTTGGTTAAAAAAAGAAAATGAATGTTTGGACGATAAAGTGTCAACTTAATTATAAATAGGGAAAGTAATATTTGTGATAAATAAATGTAAGTGATAAGTTTGTTGCTATATATATTTTTTAAAGATTTTTGTATTTTCAATTTTCATTAGTTTTTTATGTTTGCATACGATAATTCTATTTTCAGAATTTCATAAGTATAATTTTCATTTTTTTCAACAATTAACTTTATATAATTTGGGGCCCTCATCAAAGCGAGACCTTAAGCGATCACCTACTTCGTCTATACTCAGGGCCACATTGGAAGGAGAAAATAACTTCAAGTCGGAAACTTCAGTAATAAAGAAGCTCACGTGCTGGCAGTTGCCAAAGTACTTTTATCCAGTCAACAACATAAGACACCAATCGAACATGATCATTGTCCATGTTAAAACAGTTACGACAGATCAAGTTGGAGGGGCATTTGGTTTAAAACCCGAATTATGATAATCACATATAAGCTTACATCCAACTTTAATCTATCCCTACAACTTGACACTTGAAAAACGAAGCAAGTTATTGCTTCTAAAAATCTAAGTACATTAAGGATTGACAGCTGGGATGCAAAAAATGGGATGGATAACACTATCTAAGTTCTAATTTACATCTAGTTTGTAGATTTAGAATAATTACAGCACCATAAATGCAATGAACCTACGTACTAGAAGTAGAAGGTACTGAACATGAACAATCAACAAGGTGATTTCCAATAGATCTTCCCACACCCAAGAGGATGAAAAATTAAGCACTGTCATTTTTAAAGGTAACAATCTTCCAAGAGGTTCTCCTATTCCTACTAAAACGTGTAATTTACGCATTTCCAGCAACCAAAACTTCACTTACGTACATATATGTAGTGCAGATTCCATGATGTCGACGATAAAATGATCAAGAAGAAACAAGCATAGCAGTACTTTTTTTGGGAAATATATGACATCTTGCAATTCAAAATGAGCTGATTATGTGTCTTTTATTTTTGTCTCTATAACCATCTATAGTACTTTCACTCTAGAGGTATTTTGGTAAACTTGTGTTACTCTATAATTGAGTAAACTATATGAATTAGCTTTAGTTTAGGCCGTAATATTAATTATTATGGAACTTTGCCCCCATTTGGCCTTCATTATTTCAAATTTTAATGGGTGGAATAGTAATTTTTTTGGAAAATTGGTAGTTGAAAAAGAAGAAAAGTTTTTGTTTTAAGAGTAATATTATTTTATAGAAGATTGTGTGGCTAAACATAAGAGAAAAATAATAAAAACTAATTTAATTTGTTGGGGGGAGGGGGGAGGGGGGCTTTGATATTCTAAAAGGTGTACAATTGATTCAACAATCAATATAAATAGTTCCCAGTCAAGAAATTGCCCTCTTGGAACTGTAATTAAAGTCTGTCAACTCGTGTAATACTTGACTCAAAGAAGAATTTAGTAATCGAGATTTAAGAGAAATTGTCTTTATATTTTGAAGTGTAATTCCAACTGTGGGTGTGATGCTTTATGATTATAGGATCAATGCCTGGTGTTTTTACTCTACGTTTCTCCTCTTTATTATCTTTTTGTCCAGAAAAATATCCATCAACAACCATTACAATGATTCATTTTCGTGCTCCTGGTTCCAAGGATGTCAAAGCATGAGCTCTTCGACCTATACAACCTTTCCCGCTAAATTCTCCTAGATTTAGGAACCCACTATTCTTCACCAAGCTATCGATCAATTAGACAACTCAAACAAGAGGAATGCCAAGGAAATTAGCTGGTTGCACAAGTCAAAAGTATGTTACTCTGACTGCAGAAAAGTATTTGACGTCAAACATGGTAAGCCTGAGCAGATTCGCAGAACAATTGATAGTACATGGATGGCTTGATCATTAAAAAAAAAAAAAAAAAGGTTGAACCCCGTCCCGCCTCTAGAGCTTTGTGGGGGGGGAAAATTGGGAAATTGTGAGGGAGGTAAATTGCGGAATGTATCTCAGTAGGCCAAGAAACAAGAACTGTCTGTACACTGCGCTTACAAGGAATCCAATTCCATATTTCAGGAATCGAACCCCCACACTGCGACTGTCAGTAAGACGTGAGATAACATCACTCCTGTCATTTGCACCACTGAGCTATGCCCCGGGGGGCGGCTTCATTATTATATAATTATACAGCGGAGAGGTAACATATAATTACAAATGGAGATGTCAAATTAAAGGCTGCAGCATAAAAAATAAAAAAAAGTAATATAATGTGTTATTGTCTGTGCACCTCTCTGTCAAGAGGTTGTACCGAAAATAAACTAGGTAAAATTACAAATGGAGATGTCAAATCAAAGGCTACAGCACCAAAATAAGTTTAAAAAAAAAGTGTTATTGTCTGCACACCTTTCTATCAAGAGGTCATACCAAAAAGAATCCATCTATGAATAAAGAGATCATGATTGCATAAATTCAATTAATGGCAAAAGAACAATAATACCAATTCAATCGAGCAAGTTTGTGACTGTGTAGTCACAAGTTGAGTGCAAAAGCCCCAAACACACTCCAAATTACCATTAAACCTAAAACACAGGACTAGGCTGCGATTAAAAATGCTAGTTGAAGATTTCAACTTGTTTCCGGTTGTGCATTAAAGATGCCTGCAAATGATGAAACAATGATACTACTGAGACTTATTACATGTCAGGCTGTATCAGGAACTTAGTCAATCCAAAGTTTAAGAAACTGCTATTTTGAGGTGGTCACAGAACAAGAAGACAAAGTCATCCAATGGAATATAAATTGTAACAAACAAACAAGAACTCCAAAAATCCATCTATTTTCTCTGGAGTAGAAGCTACTCTTCACATCATCTCCACTAAAACCAACTGAAGCAAAAGAAGATCTTTTGGATATAAAATGGGTCATTGACTTGGAGTCCACAAGGATATGCAGCTGTGCCCAAGTTTCAGGGCCATTTAAGCCAGGTACCTTCATAGACACAACTCGAAACAGAACCATACTAGGATCATGCTCGGACTCAGCTGTTCATTTCTCTGGATACACTATGTCGTCAGCCAAAGTAGGATAGAAAGTTACAAGATCAACAAAGGAAGAGGCATTGGGAACGAAAAGGAAGTGAAGTGTCAAAGTACAAACGATAGTCACGTTGAATGTTCTTTGCCACTGCCATCTGGAAAGTGATCACATCTAAAAGTTCTCCAAGAAAAGACCTGTATTGGGTTTATTTGCATATTTACCAAATGACCTTAACTGATTGCACAACTTCCAGATTTTATCTTGTCCGGTGAAATCATGTATTCATAAAGTAACTCGCCACACTTTATCTTCAAACAGTCATTGTCAAAGTATTCAAGTATTTCAAAGATAATAACTGATAAAACTTAGTTATTGTTGCATTTACAATTGCAGAATCTTACGAAATTAGTCTTGGTTGTGGGCTAGGAAGCATCGATGCAGACACGTCGGCACACAATTTTTTCAAAAATGTACCAACATGACACATCCCACACACACTGATTAATATGATATTAAGTTTTTTATATCACTTTTATATTCTAAAGTAAATGATTTATTTTTTTAATTCGACATATCAACGTGTCGGCTATGTATCCATTAGCCTGTTGACAATATGTATAACTATTACAAAAACAAAAAAAATATTTCGGTCACACCATAGCATTTTCAACTCATGTCGACGTCGTGTAGGTGTCCGACACAACGTATCTCCCAACATGTCGGCAAAGTGTTAGCGACGAGTCCAACTGTACAAAACCAAAAACTAAGTCATACACACCAACTGATGTTTCCAACACGTCGGACAACAACTCACCAACGCCCCGATGATGCCAGTGCATTCCATCTCTCTCTAGTAATTCTAGATTATCCAAAATAAGTTCATAAGTTGAAATATATAGTTCCTACAGGAATAAGGAATAATAGAAGTACAAAAACTAGAATAATTTTTTGATTAAAAGAAGAATTCGGTACAAAAAATTTAGGAGCTACGAAAACCTTTTAGATTGGTGCCCTTTCTTCTACTTGAAATGAAAAGCCTAGCATTCTTCCTCTTTCTCCATTAGTTTTTTTAAATTTACTATTTCCAGGAGCTGTTGATGGGGATGCAAAAAAACCATTAATTTTTCTTCTCTTGATATCTCTAGGATCTTCAAGCTTACCCATTAATACCCATTATAAACCTCTACAAATCCAGAAGCCCCAATGTTGGCCTACATCATTCCTATATATGCATATATGTGAATCAGTGTATACATGCATACCCCATACAAATCTATATCCTGCGAATGGCCACAGTAACACAAAAGTAACAATTAAATCTTACTTTTGCGATGGTTAGGGGCAGGTGCGTAGCCCGATGGGACAAAAAAAAATTTATACTGGGATGATACATAGAAAAAAAAATCACAAAAAAAAAAATAATAAATAAATAACTTACCTAAAAAGACTAAATGGGCTGGGGCAGGCCTGGGCTTTAGAGGTCACCATCTTAATCAAACTGTAATAGTTCAATTCCCCTCCACTATGGTGAGGTGAGGCAAGCCTTAGTTCAGTGATATGCCATTAAATACCACTAGTCTCTAGCCCAGGTGAGAACAATCACTAGTTACCTACTTCCTCCAGCCTTTCACTATGAACCGAAAGAACACTTAACAAATGTAGTAGATATTGATTCTAAATGAAAGTAGGAAACAACTTACTATGATTAAGTTTCTTCCAGGACAATTTTGACCTGGGATCTCATATCAATAAAATAGAAAGGCCACTGAAAGATGTCCTTTTCCTATTCATAATTTCAAGCTTTCAACATTATGCAAAGATATATAATCGTAGGTCCTTAGCCTAGTATATATCAGAAGAATCTGAAATTCAATGAGCCAATTGCATGATTATAAAGAATATCAAGTAAAACATCATATCTGGTTTTCTTTTTTTTTTTCTGAAAGTAGCATTATATCTGTTATCCTAATGAAACTATGAAACGTCTAGTTATTCCACTATCCCAGAATTATAAGAAATTTACAGAAACCTAAAGCAATTAAGTAAAAATTACCTCATTTCATCTGCGAGCAATCAATGTAGTTAAAAGGTAGTCCAACAGCTCATAAATCAATCATCAATCATCAACCCTTAAGATAGGCAACACAAGATAGACAGGAAAACTATATGAGCATCATAATTATCAATCACCACCATCACCAATTCGAATTGCGCTGCTATGAAATACCACATATTCACGCAAATAATCATGATAATTAACTCGGTGTGACACGGACAGCAAAACTCAAGTTTTATGATGAGAAGCTAAACTGACCTAAGGAAAAACACAATCACAACCAATTTAATTAAATACCAAATAAGCCAGGCGAGTAATCATGATAACTGACTCAGCGAGTTCGAACAGCTAAAATCAAATTTTATTCAGACACAGCAAACTGACCTAAGGACAACCATCATTAAAATCGCACGCACGCACGCACAAGGACACACATCTAGATCTGACTAAAATTAAAAAGTCGTCGAAAGTTACAGGATATGGAATCGGTCATTTTAAGATTTAACATCCTCCAATGCTTTGTTGCTATAATTTTCAAGGGCGATACTCTTCCCATCGCCAGAGGCGATTACCGGCTGCTGTCTGATGACGCTGGAAAAATTCGTAGACATATTCGAGTAAAGACCGAGTACTTTCGAAATATTCCCGTTAATTTCCTTAATCAAATCAACGTTTTTCGCCAAATTATCAGGAGTCTTCGACTGGTGATTCTCGTTCACCTGTTGAATCAAAACACGGTTTTGATTTAACACAGTTTGTACCTCGTTGAAGCCCTTGCTCAAAATCTCCCATGCTTCCACGTCGCCGCTCGCTTCTCCTTCGCCGTCCTCGTTCTCACCTCCGCTGCCGTTGTAGCGGTGGTTCGGGCGATTGGCGGCGGCTTCAATTTGGAAATCGTCGTCCATGATCGAGGATGAATCGTGTTTGTCATTTCATACGTTTATTTTTGCATTTACATTTTTTATAGTACATATTTTTTTTCTTTTTTTTAATTAATTTATTGCGTTAAAGAAAAGGGGAAATGCCAATCAAGGCCGTTGTGTGAATAAAATAACAACCGCCTCCGGCCTCCACAAAGACTGCGGATTTTTCGATTACATTATTAAAAGTTACTTTTTAGTTTTTTAATAAAAAAAAATTAATATTCGTGTTCGAGGAGATAAGTAACTTAAAAAAATAATTTCAATTTTTTTAAAATCAAATTTAATTTACTTTTAAACACAATCAAATACTTTAAAAAGCCGATGAGGCATGACGAAAAGATACATGATTTTTACCCATTTAATATATTTTTTTCATAAACCTGCTACCCTTTCTTTATCATAGACTTTCTTCTTCAAATACAATTCAAAATTGCCCTCTCGACCTAACCTAACTGATTTGATTCCACTAAAATGATCAAAAGCAATTGAAAAAATATTTTGGTTACTTGTGTGCATATTTTCGACCTGAAAAAAACATGATCACAAAATCTAATTTAAAGTAATGTTGACAAATTTTAATGGTCTTATATATCTTATGAAAATGCCATGTGTAAAAAAAGGTAATTAACACAAAAGGTTACTATCTTTTCAATGTTATTGTACAAAACATCCTTGTTCTGTATTTTTTTGACATTTTCACTATTATTTTCACATTTCATTTAAATTAAAAAATAATAATAATAATAAACAAATTACAATCTTACTCCTAAAATTTTCAGAAACTTACAGATAACCCTACCAAAAATAACTTCAGCTTCGTGGAGCTGCCGCCATCCATCTCAGCAACCACCATCCAACTGTTGCCTAAAACACTAGAGCTCACACCACAAACAACTGCCATCAACCCCTAATTACTTTTTCATAAATAAATTGAACAAACAACAAATTTATATGACTAAAATCAATCAAAAACACAGCTTATAGCAAGCGCAACACACTGCCTTTATCCATCAATTTTGACACCGATTGTGATTCCTATCGCCGCGGACCACTCATTCTAATATGCGCAAAATTTTTCCGGCCAATTATTGCACAATAAAAAAATTGAAAGCCATTGTTGTATATCAAGATGAGAGGCGCCTTGATAAGTGTAGTCGATTGGTATGTTGGGAATGACATGGGTCTTGTCGGAACGAGTGGTGGTGTCAGTATTTGCATTCCCGAGTTGGATATTTTAGCTTGTAATTTCGACCAAATCTATTGGCATGAAGATTGGATATTCGATGGCATGTGTAGAGGAAATTGTAAGCTTTCCGATGATATGAAGGTTTGATGGTTTGAACGATTGTTGGCCTGAGTTTTTTAGCTCATAAGGTGACAATCCCATTTTGGGGTGAAAGACACGAAGGACAAGTAGAGAAGTGAGAACAAGTATTTTTTTTATTTTTTTTTTGGGGGAATATTTTAATATTTTATTTCAACTCATTTGCACTTTTTAAAAGGTTTAGAAGTAAAATTACAATTTGTTCTTTCTTTTTCTTTTTTTTTATTTAAATAAGAGGGTACATTGATTATTTTACGTTAAAAACTGATGAAAATGACGATTTTCGCAATGAAAGAGTGAACGTTTTGCACAATAACATTTAAAATAGAGACATTTTTTACTAAATACCAGTGCAAAAATATTCTAAAAACAGAATTTTTAGGGGGTGAAAGACACGAAGGAGAAGTAGAGAAGTGAGAACAAGTATTTTTTTTATTTTTTTTTTGGGGGAATATTTTAATATTTTATTTCAACTCATTTGCACTTTTTAAAAGGTTTAGAAGTAAAATTACAATTTGTTCTTTCTTTTTCTTTTTTTTTTATTTAAATAAGAGGGTACATTGATTATTTTACGTTAAAAACTGATAAAAATGACGATTTTCGCAATGAAAGAATGAACGTTTTGCACAATAACATTTAAAATAGAGACATTTTTTACTAAATACCAGTGCAAAAATATTCTAAAAACAGAATTTTTAAGAAACTATAAATTTTCAAACTTGTAAATTTCTTCAATAGATTAATTGTGTCCAACGGTATCTAACAAGCATCCTAAACATGCCCTCAACATAAAATTCATTTTTCGCAATAGATAAGGGAGGGAAAAAAAAGGAGGGATAAGCCTCCTATCCCGGGCCGTCGCGACAGACCCGGGGGGGGCATGTGCTTCTAGCAAATCCCAAGGAAATGGAAAGTCAAACATTGAACTGGTCAGTTGACCATTTTTCATCCCGGTTTTTTATGTTAAACAATAACCGGACCGCCCTCGGGGCCGGTCCAGTTTTCTCAACACTCGTTTCAACAAGAACACAGGTAAGGAATATAAAGTAGGCTTTTAAGTTTTAAGTTTACAACTGACAGTGCATAATATACAGCATGGACCTGCACTCACTCGATTATCTATAAAGTCAGCTACAACCTTTAGCTAATTAATGGACAAGATCAAGTGACTTTTCCAGCAAAGAGTAATCAAGAACTACGTAAATTATCAGTGCCAATTTCCCAGCAGTCGAAAAATTAGCATCCTTCCTAAAGATGGCGAACAGTGGTTACTCGCCATCGCTATCATGATCTAGGAAATTAAAATTCGACCTTCCGTCGAGCCTTATGATAAGTGTTCCACTATTTTCTTCACGCCATGTGATACCTTCTTTCTGTAGGAGACCAATGACCTACAATGGAACCCCCTTTAGCTCAAGTACTGACAAAAAATTAATCAAATCAAGTGATTAAACTTGAGGTAATAATCCCGAAACTTTTTAGTGCATGTTTGGTAGGAAGGATTGCATAGAAATGGACACAATAATAATAATAATAATAATAATAATAATAATAATAATAATAATAATAAATCATATATATATATGGAGTACTTAACATAAGCTAAGCACCGGTGCCCATTGGATCATTTCCCTATTTAAGTGTCATCAGTGCTTAACATAAGCTAAGCACCGGTGCCCATTAGATCATTTCCCTATTTAAAGCCCATTCATAAATATTTCTTACCAAACATACACTTAAGATGAAGCAAAGTCAATAAATTATATTATAGATGTGGTACCCAGATTGGTCAAAAATCTTTTTAAGTTAGTTTCACAGACTCTGGCTAGCGAAAAACTTCTAAGAAAAGTATCACTTACTTTCTAAAAAGGTAAATTTTGTTAGTTATATAAAAAAATAAAAATAAATAAAAAGAAACTTCAAAATTGTTTTTGGCAAAAGTAACTATACATCTTTCCAAGCTCAGCCAAACATGCTCTAAACAGTGACAGCAGAAATACATAGGTTTTGACACATACTGAATTTTTGAGCTTTGATCTGCCAACACCATGTCTTCCACATCCTGTGATAACCCTGAATAACCGCACAGCTGCAGAAGAAAAAGATAAATTCAGAAATTAAGACCATGATTAATAATTCAGCACATAATTTTTTTTCAAATATGGTAATTTTTCTACGTTACAGGCTGCACTGATTCTTACAACGCACACATGCTCCGAATAATAGGTGGAGTTTCAAAAGCCTCATTGCTTGTTTAATATGCTGTCCATGCAGATCAATTGTTATTGTGTTCTCTATGTTCCTGTTTCTGCAGTACAAGGGATAGGTCAGGTAACAACAAACAATAAACAAATTCGTTATGCTTAATACTGTGGCTCACCTTGCAGTAAATATATCTTGACTAGCCTTTTCATCTGCTTCTTGAGCCATTTTATTGTGCAACCTTCCCTGGAAACATTAAGAGATAAAGTTGGTCATGTCACCATTCTTCGTAAGAGTCTTTCAACTACATCAATAATCCTAACAAATCAATTATATTGTATTGAACCACTTAATATAAAAGCTTAAGCTGTTAAATAAGCAACACGTATATGACTTAAATATTGTCTTCAACACACCCCCTCACATGACATGGTATTCAATTTTTTTCCATTAAAGCTTGACAAGTGCACAATTTCATCAAATAGGTGTGATGAGACTTGAATCTAACATGTATATCATTAAATATTGTCTTCCACACACACCCCTCGTGTGCAAAATTCATCAAATGGTGTAGTGGGACTGAACCCAGGACCTTTGTCTACTTGATACCATGTGAAGCTTAAGCGGTTATATAATGCAACATGTATATCAGTTAAATATTATCTTCAATATATATCTACTGCATATCCAGTCAAAAGCTTGCAAAAAGTTACATGACCGAACCATGAATTCAGATCATCAAACTACACTTAAAAAAAAAAAAAAAAAAAAAAAAAAAAAAAAAAAAAAAAAAAAAAAAACCTAGAAGAATCTAATCATCGAAACAAGATCTTGCAGCATGTTTGGTTGTGCTTACAAGTCAAACTTACTTTTAAGTTAATTATTGCCAGACATTAATTTTTTTTACTTTTTCAACAACAAAATTTCTGTTACGAACCAGGATTGCATTTGCAAACGAACGAACAAACAAACAAAGATGGAAACCAAACAAGGACACTACTCAACAAGTAATAGATTACAGCAGAACCTCCCAGATATATACCTGCTCAGAGAGATAAGATGCATATCCCCTCTCCCCATTTGTAAATGCTGTTGCAGCCTGCAGCAATAAGTGCCTTCTCAGACTTACAAGCCCAAAAACCATAAAATCAATAGCGTGTACAAGTACAAATTCTTAAAACTAGGAAGACAACACAAGTGTACACTACCTTCTGATAATAAGAATTCATGGACTCCCAGTGCTGCTTCGCAGTTACTCTGAACGCCTGATATTCATCTCCTTTAGCTACATTTTAAGATAAGTTAAACGTAGTGAAGAGATTAATATGATCTAATGCATTAACCGAGCCAAAATATTGAGAGTGATTCGAATTTAAGAAGAAAATTTAAGAGAGAGAATAAAATTTCAAGTACTAATTTTCAATTGACCAGGGAAAAGAAATTTGAAGCAGCTGCAACTGTCGCATAATTCGTGACGCAAACAAAACCAGCTTCATCCATTGAATTTCACCCAAAAGATGGCAAACATTTCATCGTAATGTAGCATTTGCATGATAACACAAAAAATAGAAAATACTCATGCAACACAAGATTTCAGATATGAATTGACGCAAAGTTATTGACATGTATCTTTAAGACACCAGAAACTGAAGAGATAGATGCAGAACACACAATGAGCAAAGAACTAACTGATAATTGAATCAGCATAATCAAAATCATTTTATGGGAAAAACACGACAGTAAAGTTGAAATATGCATAAGAACATTACAAACCATGGAGACACTGCCCTTGTTCACCACCATCAGGTTCCAACCTTTGTCCCAGGGATGCCATTTTCTTTACCACGTTCCTCCAGTTCATGGTGTTAGGTTCATGTTCAGCGTTCTTGGGAGTGGGCATATTAAATAAAGATTTTAACACTTCCTGCGGAAGTTCTGATTCTGAGTTTCCAGTCTCCTTCAAACAGTGAGATTCACAAGCTGCAGAAACTTCAGAAAGATTCCTGAAAACACAGAAGATGGTCGATCAATATAACATTTCCAGGTTTAATTTCATCTTACACTATCCTTTGTGAAAATATATGTTCCATTTGCATATTGAAAGTTGGAACTTGTCCATAGAAGCGTAAGAGCTCTTAAGGTAACAACTTTCACTTCACCTCAAGATCAGACCACCAAGAAAAGCTAAATACTATCTTAGGTGTCTGTTTCACATTGATTATTGTGCTCTCTATCTTCTAGACAACATATATATTAGCACACAGTGCTCTTAATTTTCCTCCACGGTATTTCCCCTGAAGAGGAAGGATGGAAAAATGTATTTGACAGAATATTTCTTATTTCCGAGTTTATGGGCCTTCATGTTAGAAACCAGTATGGAATTTGTCATCTTGCAAGCAAAAAAGAGATACTTTGACAATGAAAAGTGCAAAAGAACTTCATGTATATTCCCCTTGGGTAACAAACAAAAGCTTAACATTCTGATGCAATATGCAATAAGTCTTCTGAAATTGCTTAGACTTATGATTGAGCTGTAATATTGAATATACACTATCACTCTGACAATTATTATATTCTAAAAGTTGATAAGCTATAACAGATCATTACATCATTTTTGGTACCCAACTTGCCGCATCCTAGAACAAATTATTTATTTATAAAAGACAAGATTGGGAGCAACTAATTGGCTTTCTCCTACACTTTGTGGGATTCTAAGAAAGCCCGCAAGTTACTCTCAAACATGCTCACAGTCCTGTAGTTATAAGAGAAAAATCCACTGATACATTCCAAGAATGTTCATGAATGACTTAACATTGAAGGGTTACGCATCCAAGGATATTCAAGATTGTAAAGCGCACCAGAGAATTTTAGAAAGTAAAACTTTGATTGGTACAAATTTTGGAAGATTCAGAATAAACTAGCTTTCAGTTAAAAAGGGAAAAAAAAACATTTACATCATTATCATATACAAGCTAATTGGATAGTTTATTCTTCTAGAATATATTTGACATTAATTTAAGCAGAATCTTTCAACAGACAACACGATTCAACACTTCCAGCAGAAGTTTAAAATACCATCCTCGTAAGAATTAAACATTTAACAGCCACGATACTATCTTAGAGTCGTCTTCAAATGAAAGGATAAGTAATATATAGTTGGTTACAGGTACATGGCCAACCCAAGAACGTGAGTGACCCAATCTCACCAAAGCAATTTCTATGGTTCACAAAATATTAAAGAAAAAAATTATATAAAAGGATTTCCACAAGAGTTTACTCAGTTGAAGTCCTCCATTGTTTATGGAAGTCCATAGAGGAACTTCACATAAACGTTTCCACCTAACTTCCTTCACTGTTAATTAATGGGACATCTTTAGTTGGCAATGTGAAATGTGATTTCAAAGTAGGTAGTAATCAAAAAAATGACGAGATTATCAGTGAAACTATAGGTATGGTTCATGTTTTACAATGTAAGTGCCAGAAATATTTATGAAATGAATGTACAGTTCCATCTTTATTGAGTGCAGAAAGAACAATGTTCACAATTTATTCAGTAAGTTCTCACATTCATTTTCTGAGTATGTTAACTCAATGCTTTTGATTAGAAATATAAAGATCCCCTCAACCATTTCTCTGTTCCAACAAATAGACATATATTTCAGAACTGTTTTTTATCCAGATCCTCTTAGTGCAGTGAAATGAAAGTCTAATGGCAAAGGGAACTTAGGTCCTTTCATCCTGACGAATAGGTGCATGTCTGAATGACTAATAATTAAACTGAATTACCTGAAAAGATTCGCAGCACTCCATACATTATCTTGAACTTCAATTTCAGATGGATGAAAAGTTGAGTTCGATGTCCCATCAGAAAGCTGCAGGGACATTAAAATAAACTAAGATAATTTTACTTTTGAAAATCAGTTTACACCCATAATTAACAATTTTTAGGCAGGCTTGTCATATAAATGAATATTAATCCATATATCCAACAAATCAGAACAAAGAACAGAAAAATGCGCTATGACATATTATTGCATTATGACATGAACACCGAGATCACAGGTTCCCCTGTCTTAGTTTGGTTTACCGACCACGCCAACTAATCATTTCAAGATAAACTATAGAGCAAGTACCAGAAAACACGTCATCAATAGCAAGGTACTGTAGGTAGTCTTTGTGGGATGGAGCAGAAGAGGAAAAAGGAGAAAACTATAGGACACAATAGCAAAAACCATCAAAATGATTCAACCAAGGAACAGACAGAAATGGATGAAATTAAACTGCAACATACACTGCCATTTGATTCCAGATGAAACTGAGTATCTTCTCCGTCATTAGAATCATAACAACATTTGGATTGTTTACTTGACGAACCAGATAATTCAAGTAGTACATCTAAAGCCTGTAAAAGGTAGAGAAAGTATGAAACATTAATATGGAATAAAATTTCCAAACTAAAGTCAAACTAAAATAACTCTCTTTTGCCCAACAGGTTTAGAAGAATTTAGTAGTAGCTTTGTACCTCAAGCATTATACTGTAACAATAACATAATGGAACAAAAGAATATTGATAAGCATTTTTTAATTTTAGAAAGAAAAAAAGAGTTAGCTGCCAAAAATATTTATGGATAACTCAAAGTCAATACCCACCAAAAACATTTGAAATCCCTCTGTGAAGAGCGTGTAAACTATTTATCTGTACATCATTTTACCCACGGTTACTCTGATTCTATTTCAGACTTGAGAGGAAGGTCTATATTAGGGGGCAAGGTCAGCGGAATTGAAAGTTAGATTAACCGTTGACTTCAAGATTGTAGACAGCAAGACTAACCATGAGTAAAATCATCAACTCGAATTGATGACAAAAAAAATAAATAAATAAAGACTAATGTTTCTCAAGATTTTGGTGAAGTTGAAGTTGAGAATGGATTGAACTTCTGGTTGCTGGCTTAGTTTCGAGATAGGTAGTCATCAATAGGAGAAAAAAGGAAGGCGACATAGCGGCAGATCATTATGATGGATACAGCAATGAGGATATTTAGCATTTGTAGCAGGGGTGTATATCTTTGAAAGGTGAATCATTTCTATAAGACTAATGCAATTTGCAAACGCTTACTGCAGTAGTCGCCCAAAGTGGCGTACATGTGACGGTAATGACTTGATACATTAATGTGATAGTTTTTTATTATCTTATATGACAAATCACTAACTGTCACATATATGTCACGTAGTGCGACTATGGAGTGAACAACTGCAAATAGCTTTATTCTTTCTACTAGTAGTAATCTTGGAGAAAAGAGACAAAAATGTACTTTTCGTTTGGGTAGTGACTTTAAATTGACCCATACTATAATGAAAAGCTAGACAATGGTTTCGAAAAAACTGAAAAGAGAATGCTCATTAAGATGAGCAACCATTGTATGGCATACAAAGTTTTAGTAGTTTTACATTTAAATTTTAAAGTAAAGGAAGATTGAAGAAGGTAAATTTACTGCCCTTACCTTCTCAAAGTCATAGCCACATTGACCTGTCAAAGAAAAGGTAATTTCAAGTCATATACAATCCTCAAGAAACCACCACACTGAAATCATACTATTTATTAAAGTATATCGGTTTCCATAACAATGCATTGAAGAATAGAAAAAAAAAAAAACAAATAATAGCATATAACCCACAAAGGACATCTCTAACGACACCCAAGTTCAACTCGCACTCAGATCCAAGCATCGAGCACAAGAACTGCTCTTTGTCCTCCCTGCTCCAGCTCTCCTCGTGAAAACGCTTCCACTTCAGTGAACTCTTATTTGGAGTAGACCTCACATAGTCTTTTCCCAACATCGTTGCCACCGTTCCTGCAGTAGCCACAACTTTCTTCGACCTGACCTTACTATTCAGCTTAAACCCTTCCTGAACACAATCATTTGCCTGCACAAACAACTCCGATGCACTCGAACTCGAGCTCGTATCCAGACTGTAATTCCCACTAGAACTCGAGCTTGTATCCATGTTGTAATTTGCACTTGAGCTTGAGCAACTCGTGCTGTGATCCTCCGCCACTGCGCTCCCTACCACACTGGCAAGGATTTGTGCAGCCCTGTTTGGATCCACGTTCGCTTCGTTGTAAGCGTAAGCAGTTTTTTCTAGCGAAACAGAAGCAAAAGTCTCCGTTAAATTTTTCAGGACCCTACCAACATTCTCGTTAGAACTTTCGCTTGATGCAGCAGGGCTTTTTGCTTTCTCCTTTTTTGAAACTTTTGATCCCTTTTTCTTCTTTGATTGCTTCATTCTTAAGTAAATGCTAGAGTATTTGTACAAATCTCTCTCTAAGAATATCTGACTTAGCCCAATTTTTCAGCCCAAAAAATGAAATTTTGACCCTTTTTTCAATTACTATTTATATCTAGAACTACTAATACAACAAGAAATCGTATAGATCAGATCTTTCATTCAATCTATAGCAGAAGACCAAATGAAATAACGATCTAGAGGCGTTGTTAAACAGGGTTCCTAATACAGGGGAGAAATAACCTAATCCTTCTATAAAAGTGAAGCCCTAAATCAGAAAAATCATATGCAGAAAGAATTTCCAAAATTAGGGTTCACCTAATCCTTCAATAAAAATTAAACCCTTAAATCGGAAAAATCATATGCAAAAAGGAATTCCGAAATCATGGTTAGATTTAGAATAATTCGAATACCGGAAACCCTAATTGAAACAGAAATCACGAAAGTCCAAGAAAAGATTTCCGAAAAAATGCAGAATTTGATTGGGGCAGTATTTAAAATAGAAATAGACAAAGGTGTCAATTTCAGCGGGGACAACTATATTCATGGATTTTATGAGAAACACGAATATTGTGGCACCATTTTCTCCACGAATATTGCAATTGGATTGATATTCTTGAAATTGATGATCCAATTTCATATGAAGTATAAGCTTTATTGCCATTCATTAAGATGAGTTTTTTTCTTATTCAGAAAAAAAAATTTTAAAATAGTAATTTTTTGAAAAACTCGTGGTTAAAAAGTAGAAAAATATTTTAAATTTATGTACAAAATATTTTATTTTATGAATACGTGATTAAAAATGAATTTAAGAAAAAAGAGTTTAATTTAATGAATGTCCAATAGGAGCTAACTTTTCTGTCCAATTCAATTCTAGTCTAACTCTTGTTCGAGATCCATTTTAGCCCATGTTTGGTAGTCATTATTTAATGAATATAATGTTTTGAATAATATTTTTTAATAGAATGTGTAGTTAAAAAATAGAAAATTTTTTAACTTATGTGGGGAATATTTGATCGTGTAAATATGTGGTTGAAAATAACTATGTAAAAAAAGCATTTTTCAATAATGGTTGTCAAAGAGGGGTTTAATTTGTTTTAATGAAAAATGTATTCTAGAATAGTGATATGTTTTAAGAATGTGTGAATAAAAAAAAAGGGAGGAAAAATTTTAAGTTAGCGTGTAATATTATTTTATTAAAAATATATAGTTTAAAAGGAAAGATAAAAAAATATAAATAAATTGTAATATAGCCCAAAAATGAGCTAAAAATGGTTTTCACATGATTTGAAACGAATCTTTGTCCATGACATGACAACATTAGGAAAAGTCAAATTTTAAGCAGTACACACCATAGTATTCACCACTCATTTGATTTACACTCAAGACTCTTAAGGTTTGCTGATGCGAACCCGATTAACACGGACGCTATTGAACCCACACGTTATTGAACCGAATCCCAAGAAATCCAAAAATCGAGGTTTTGGACTTAACCCACAATATTGGAACCAAACAACCAATAATATATAAAATTATTGATCTCTTGATTACGCAAGATTAATGAATTTCACTCGAAATTTTGGATCTGACCCAATAATTACAAACCAAACAATCAATACAGTCACTTGGACATGCCGACATGTTGGTTACAAATAATTATAAAATCATAACCCGATTTGTTAAACGCCACAAGATGGTTAATCTTGATAAATTCGATTTTTGCCCATGGAAGAACAAAGTTTTGAAGCAAAAGTTCCGAGAGAGAAAAGTCTCAATTTAATTCATCAAAGTTTTAATAAAAATACAATGAAAGAAATAATTTATTTATACTAAAAACCTAAAATATAAAATATGGAAAAATATAATTAAATCTCCTAAAAATATAAAGTTACCAAAAAACTATGAATTTTAATGGAAATAAAATTTCACGTGAAATGAAAGATTTTCTTCCAAATTTATTTCTATGGGGCTACTCCGAATCATATTAGACCATCTCTCTTCGAAAGGATTCGTCCTTGAATCTTGATCCAAGTTGTAACCCTTCTCTCCACTCAATGCAAAAAAATGAAATGTTTCGTCTCCTCTCGGATGTACTTTGGACCTCTTTTGAACTCGAACCCGTTGCCTTCGATTGTAAATCCAATCACCTTCACCTGGATCAAAGTGTGCTCGCCTTGACTGCTTAATCTTGCAAGTTGGAACTGCTCCAATAACAACTCCATTTGATGAATAACCATGCATCTTCCTTGTTTTACTTGGCCCAAGCACTTGAAACAGTGTTTTTTCCAATGTACCAATGTTGTTCTTCAGTTCATCTTCCTCAATCAACTCTCTGCATATATAATTCCTCCGGTGCCTTTGAAACTCTGTCATCTCCTTGAGAATCACAAGGTCAATTTTCAATAGATAAGGGAAATACAACAGATGTAGTACCAATTGATGTTCAATTTCTGGGATGGGTGGTGTTCCAATGTGATCATTTTCTGGGATTAAATTTTCGGTAACCTACAAAAATGAATTCGCCAAACTAGGGAGGGAATTGTTAGTTTGCACTAAAGCTTCTTCAACTTCACGCTCCTCTTCACTTTGGCTTACTTCCAACTCTCATTTTTCCTCCAAAGACTCTTCTCCACTTTTCTCTTATGGCTCTATTTCTTCTTTCAGATTTTCGCTCTAGATTTTCCTTTCACTCTCTCGTGACCCTTCTCCCTTCTTAGCACAATCAACTACCTCACTATTTTCTCTCTTTCTCTTTTGTTCCTCCATCAAGTCATGAATTTTCGAGAATTCAAGTTTATAATCCAACCCAGTCCTCTTGCTTGATGTACCACCAACACCCTTCACAACATATGTTTTCTCTCCCCTTGAATACTCAACCCCATCAACAAGAATTCTAAATCGCCTTTCAAGCCTATCCATTCTATTTCATGTATCCTCCATCTTCACCAGCATCCTCTCAAATCCCTGAAACAACTTTTCAGACATGTTGAATTAAATTCCAATTGGGATGTGTGAGAATTGAAACTCAAAGACTCAGAAGGAATTGAATGGGACAACCTTTGATTGGAAATATATAAATTCAAGAAAGTAGTTCTTGAATTGGATTTGTACCGACAAAACTAGAATTTTTTATTCAAAGAAATTAGTAATTAAATTTTGGAATAATTTTGTTTGACACAATTTTTTTCTCGGGTGAACAGTACCGTCCCGTACGGAATGAACAGTACCATGAATAGTAAAAAAATTCGAGTTTTTTTTTCCTCTTTGGATAGAAAATTCAACTATGACTCTGACGCAATAAATAGAAGTTGATTTGGACGCAAATTGAATCCAAAAAAACTTTTGAAATTTTTTTCTGGATCAAAGACTCTAAATAACAAAAGACACAAAGAACCTGAAGAATACCAAAATTGAGGAGGAAAACAAAACAAGACTCAAAAATAAAAAGAAAAACATATAACCTTGATTTTGGAGCCTAGGCTCTGATACAAAATGATGCGAAGTGGGTTAGCACGGACGCTATCGAACCCACAGGATATTGAACTGGATCCCAAGAAAGTCAAGAATCGAGGTTTTGGACTTAACCCACAATATTGGAACCAAGCAACCAATAATATATAAAATTATTGACCTCTTGATTATGCAAGATTAATGAATTTAACTCGAAATTTTGGATTTGAACCAATAATTACGAACCAAACAACCAACACAATCACATGAACATGCCGACCTTTTGGTTACAAATAATTAAAAAATCATAACCCGATTCGTTGAACGCCACAAGATGGTTAATCTTGATAAATTCAATTTTTGCCCATGGAAGAACAAAGTTTTGAAGCAAAAGTTTCGAGAGAGAAAAGTCTCAATTTAATTAATCAAAGCCTTAATGAAAATACAATGAAAGAAATAACCTATTTATACTAAAAACCTAAAATATAAAATATGGAAAAATATAATTAAACCTCCTAAAAATATAAAGTTACCAAAAAAACTATGAATTCTAATGGAAATAAAATTTCTCGTTAAAAGAAAAATTTTTCTTCCAAATTTATTTCTATGGGGCCCACCCCAAATCATATCACTTGCTAACTATATTGCTTGTGTCCTTATTTTTTTTAATCAAAACTCTATTTTTAATAATTTATTAACTATTACATCTCGTCTTCGATAGCAATTTTCGTCTAAAAAATAAGATACTCATCAGATTTAAATACCCTACCCATATAACCATTTTTTTCACACAGCAACAACTCTTGCATTCTTTTATACTTTTATTCTACAATCTACATTCTACCTTCAATTTCATACTTCATTATTTCTCTACATATTACAATTTCCAATCAATTATTTACTTAGTATAAAAATTACAATACATATTCTCTATATTATATTTTATACGCATTCTCATTACAATTTATATTTCTACAATTATTCAATTTCTACATAGTCATTCAACATTTCATCTTCATTCAAATTCTTATATTATTAATTCATCACAAATGGATCAACAATCATTTGTTCAAAACTTGTTTAGTGTTGTGATGAATCACCTATGATGTCATAAAGTCAATTTTATAATCAATTTTTGGGTCTCAAATCTCAATAATGTAACCATTCTCAAAATTTATTTCAAATTTGGATACTCATGAAAGTAGTAATTCAATTGATTTGGATGACCCAAAATGGAATAGGCGGATCTAGATATTTTTAATGCAAGTGGAAAGTGAAAGAGGACAAAGGGGCAAAATGTTGAGCAAAACTTATTCATGAAATTATTTCTTTCGATTTAAAACTACCGCAAATGTACGATTTTTTAACAAGTAATACAGTGGAATATTGAGTTCTGAATATCATCTCATAAAGATTGAGTAGGTCAACGTTATTTATAGTAGTTTTAACCGAAATAAAATTATCAAAATTGAAATTTTAACCTAAGAAAACCCTAATTTAGCAAAACCTTAATTATAGAAAACCCTAATTTCGCTAAAATGATCGTTGAATAAATTAAAAACACAAAATGATGTATTTAAATGAATTGTAATGCAATATTATGGTTGGAACGCAAGTTGATTTTACTCAATGAAATTTTAAATGCATTAGAATCGCGAATTCCCATGCAATGATCACCTTAAACTCTAGTTTCACAATATGACAACACGATTGAATTATTGCAGAATCAATGCTCCTAAATCTATCCAATATTCTTTCTCGAGCAATATTAAACATATTTTCATATACCGCCAGCCTATATTTCTATGACAGATGCATATATATATAAGAATGCACGTGTTTTTATGAGCATTTAACGATTCACGCAAAGCATAGGGGTATATCTCTATCCCCTATCGGACCCCTACGATGATTTATACATTATCGAATCTATTTCCCTTCTCTCGGATGCAAGAAAAAAATCATCACACATCACATAATTACATGCACTTAATTATGGAAGCAAGTAATGTATATAAATTATTCAAATAATAAAAAAACGCGTTTTAATGTCTACTTGCAAAACTAGAAATTAAAAGATCATATTACATGGTTCATCGATCTCCTAGTACAAGAATATTTAGCCTAACATGTAGAAAATAAAAGAATACATGATTTCTTGAAGATAAAACATCACCGGGTTATGA